TCCTTGGAAATTATATTTCCCCTTTGGCTGTCTGATAGAATTGTAGAATTGTTTGGGTTGGAAGGGATGTTAAAGATCATCTAGTTCCAATCCCCCTGCCCGGGGCAGGGACACCTTCCACCAGACCAGGTTGCTCAAAGCCTCATCCAGTCTGGCCTTGAACACTTCCGGGGATAAGGCATCCACAACTTCCCTGGGCAACCTGTTCCTGTGTCTTGCTAACCTCACAGTGAAGAATTTCTTCCTAATATCTAATGTAAATTTAATCTTCTATGATCTAGCCTCATCCTCATACTCCAGTAGCAGGGAGAGCAACAGGCGGGAAGGGGCAAATTGCAGCAAGTGGCAAATTGCAGGGAAACATCAGGGCTAGCAGAGATGCCTGGGGGATTGAGGCCACCCCATACTGCACCCCAGCCGCAGGCAGGCCTCCCAAAGGGGGTTTAAGACCAGATCCCCAGGCTTACGCTCCTGTTAAAAAGACCTCTGAAATAAGCATAAAAAAATAAAAATAACCTATATGTCATTAGACCTGTATTCTAGATCCCTGTCTCAAAGCACCTGTCTCTTGAATTATTTTTGAGCATTTGCAGCTCAGTGAGGCACAAGAGACCTTTGTAATTCCTGGCATTTAATTTTGGACCTGGGCAACTCGCAAATGCAGCAGTTCCCAAGCTCATTATTGACCCGGCAGACAGGAGGAGCATTACTGGCTGGGCTGGTACAAACATGCATTTCCCAATATAGCATCAGTTTGTGTCCCTCCACATGCACACATGAGGAGAACAGCTGGATTTTCCATAGCAATTTTATCAGCACTATGGGGACAATGCACCTGGAAAGGCGAAAGTAAGAGGAGTTCCTAACAGCACTAGTTGCCTTGCGGGTAAGCCTCTCTGCTTCTGCCTTTTGGACTGTCCTGCTCCTTTCTGAGCCACTGAAAATGGAAACCTGGAAAGTTTGTCTTAGGGCTGTTTGGTGCCTCCCCTGCTCATCCTCTTTAAAAAAAAAAAAAAAGGAGCAAAAAATAATAAAATAAAGCCCAGAGTAGAAAATCCAGTCACATCCAGAGTGCAAGGCTGTGGGCGGTCAGTGGCCGCAAACGCTGATGAGCAGAGACTACAAAACCAAAGAAAGTTCCCAAATTCCCATATTTGTTTTCCAAGGTTGCTGGTTTGCAGTACTCACCCCGCCTTCCTCCTCCTCCGAGCCATCCCCCTCTTCCTCCGATGAGTCACTGCCCTAAGGAAAGGGAAAACCAAGCTGTAGCGGAGCTGACAGATATCCATTTGTGTCATGAGCATAATGGTCTCAGCCTAGACCTGCAGGCCAGCAGCAGAGGAGGCAAAATCCCTCCAAAACACCTACCTGGTATCGTCGTGGCAGGGGATGCACATAGGCATATCTATACACGTAATACCGGTGCCTCTTCTTGAACACCTACCAGGAGAAGAAAATCTCATCAGTCTGGGGTCTTGGGCACAGGAGTGACTGAAACATCCTCATCCTCAAGACCAGTGCCACATAGGGCTGGGCACACAGGGTGGAGGGAGACCCTACCGCGTTTTCTTCTGAATCGTCTGACTTGGCTCGTCGCAGCCAGCTCTTGACCTGGGAGAAAGGCTGCTTTGGTGTGTGCTCCACAGCAGCCCCAGCAAGGCCAGAGGATCCCCCCACTGCCCAGCACTCACCGAGAAGGCGCACGCCATCCCCACCAGGCAGGCGAAGACCAGGGCAGTCCTCATGGCAGCTTCCTCTGGGAACAGCGAAACACGGCGAAGACTTGCTTTTCAGCTAGAAAGCACCATCACTACCCCAAACCGTACAGGTGTTTGTGTCCATGTGGGTGAGAGGGGAGCAGGAAGGTTGACCTGCATCCACCTCTCAATAAGGTCACCCTCCAGAGACACAAGCCCTTCTTTTTCTTTTTTGAGATGCGACTCAATTTCCATGACCACATTTTGGTTTTGCAAGAAGCCACAAAATACCAGAAAAGTGAATTTCACCCAGCAGTGGACACATTGCTTTCCCTGAACAGGACTGCTCACTCCTGCTTCCCCATCGCCTGCGAGCGAGCGGGAAGAACGAACCCTCACCAGAGCAGAGATGGGAGCAGCCAGTGGGAGCACCCACAGCAACCTGCAACCTGCTCAGACTCTGCCCAGGGAGCAACTCCCCCAGGAATTACACTACTGAGAGTTTAACCTCACTGAGGAAAAATAAATAAGCAAACAAATAAATGAATGCAAGCAGTTAATACAGTCTGCCATTGACAAAACCAGCAGTGGCAAGGCACCAATGCAAGGATCCCCCCTGTCCTGTAGGCATATCTGGGGGGAAGGTTTGGCTCTAGGCAGACCTGAGCTGCACCCCCAAGACAATAAAACGTGGCCTGCATTCCTCCATCGTGGCCCCAGCAAGGAGCATGCCCAACACTTCCCACAGACCCCAGTCTCCCCGCAGGGAGGGATGCTCTTGGCATGCCCCCCAGACTCAGTCAGGCCTACTAACCTTCCTTTTCCCTGCCCTTCCTCCAGCTAAACCCACCATCAGCTGTGCTGAGGTCTGGGGGGAGTTATATATTTTTCTGCACTTAGATTTTCCCCATCTTCATTTAGCCTAGGGTAGAAAACAACTGGCCACAAGCTAACTTTCCTGGCTGTGCAGCGAGGCTCTGAATATTCATCCCCTCCACCCAAGTGCCTGATGAAGCTACAGACCCAGGAAAGGGCTAGAAGCAGTACCTAGCCCCAACAGCAAGCTGAACCCCCCCCATTCCCCTGCAAAAAAGTAGACAGCAACTCCCAAACTAACTGGAAAAAGCAGCAGCAAGCTTACCCTGCCACAGCACCAATGGATAAAAACCACATCGAGTCAGCCAGCACAGATTTCCTCCTGCTGCTGCCCCGTCGGGTTATAAAGTCTATTTTTGCCCCCCCCAACCAATCGCTGCCCTGCCCGGAGTGACGCCAGCCCACTGGTGTGTGCCAGAAAACCCCCAAACTTCAACGCCGGCAGATTTGGTGCACAAACATAGTGCCCCGTGCTGCTGCCAAACCCCGGGGAGGTTTGCACTGCACCGCTTAATTGAGGGTCTGGCCTCAGAGGAATGGCCAGGAGGCCGGAGGGTATAATAACACTTTGGGTTTAAATTAAAATAAATATTGGGAAATCTGTTCTTGGGGGGTGTCTACCTCCCTTTTTGGGAAATTCTGTCACTGTTTTTTCAAGAAGACAAAAAAGACAGACCTCAAAGGCCTGGCTCCAGAGTTCCTTGGGCATAGCCATTAGACCAAAAAAAGGCTAAATCCAAACAAGTTCCACTCCAGGCTGCCTGAGAGGTGAAACAGGCCTCGGGAAGGGCATGGAAAGAAAAGGAGACTCGGATACAGGTGTCAGTAGTCCACCTTTGAGAGACATTTCTGCCACAGTGATGCTGTAAAATGCTCATCTGCTTGTTTCCTGCAACCCCATGAACCACACAGACCCATGCAAGAGCCAGCCTGGCATCCTGCTCTCCAAAATCAGATATTCCTCAGCTGAAATCTGGCAGCTCTGTACACACCTCCAGCAAAGCAGAATAACTGCGTGGGGCACAAAAGTGCAGAAAAACCACCTTTATGGCCACCCAAATCTCAGTGGGGACCTTGGTGGCAGGAGCCCAACTCTCCTGCCCCACGCCTGGTGTCAGGGGATGGGAGCATGTAGGTGCTGCAACCGCCCCCCTGCACCCACCTCTGCAGAAACATCCTTTCTCTTTTCCGTATATTTATCATTTCCTGCTGGGATTTCAGCCGCCCAGCTCTCCAATGTACCTGTACTCCCTCTTTCCCAGATTTTTCTTGAGCTCAGCAGGATAGTCCTCTTTGCTGCTCCTGCACGCACCCAGGTGGCAGCAGCTCAGGGGAATGAGTCCTTGGTGAATGCAGCTTTGCTTTCACCGGCACTGAGGAGGATTGCAAAGCCCACCTGAGGCCTTCAGTCCTACAACCCTCAGAGAGGGAACAGAGAGGCTGGAAAATGCATGCCTTAGAGAAGGTCAATGATGCACAGGTTAGCCAGTAAAATGATGGTTATTTAGGGCAGAAAAATCTGCTTTACAGTGGAAGACCTGAAAGCTCACGTTTCTGCTCAAAACTCAGGGCTGCACTTGCCAAAAGCCTTGCTCACATCCAGGGGAGCCCAATTTGAGTCTGGATTTGATTGGGAAACAAAGGATTTCCAGTGAAACAGGCTAGGACCAGAAGGACAAAGCTTGTTGTTGTTGTTGTTGTTGTTTTGCCTTACTGCTCATCACCACATCAACAGGTACATGGTGGGGAGTTGCTAACTGCTGGAGAGTTGCTAACTGCTGATGAAACATCACAAACATCACACATTTTTGAGGTGGGAGAGGTCCCTTGCAGCCCCCCCGGGGGGTCTGGCAGCCCTGAGAGCAAGCCAGGCCATGAGACCGCAGTGCAAACCCTGGGGGTGCGGGGCACAGCTGTGCCTGCCCTGTGGCCTTCAAAGCCCCTTGTGTCATTGTGAGGAGCCATAATTACAAGGGAGGTCTGGAGCTGGCCTTGCCTTTCAGCTGGTGCCTTGGGCCAGGAAAACCCACACATATACAAAAAAAAAAAAGGAAAAAAAAAAAAAGAAAAAGCCATGCAGTTTTCCAGTGGCAACCCAGCGGCCTCTGGTAGAAGGAGACATCAGCAGGGTGAGGGACCTGGCATCCCTTCACCTCCACAGGACTGGGGCAGCTCGAGAGGCTACCTTGCTGGGGG